TATGGATATCTACTTGCTGAAACGAATCCCGGCGTAGCTCACCTCAACGTGATAGGCACGTTACCATAATCGAATAAAATAATTCGAAGTGGTCTGTATTCTGTCGAAACTGCCAGACGCGGATCGCGATTTCGATTTTATTGGATCTCATCAGCGCGTCGCAGGCAGCTCCGACAGAACACAGACCAACTTTTACCTGCTGTCTTAGCAGTGCGTTTCAGAAAAGTGGACCTTGTTGAAAAATACGTAATCCTAAAATGTATCATCGTGTTACAGATGGCGTTCACTGTGCCGTTTGTAGTATTTTCTGAAATTCCTATGAAAATTAATGTAAAACTTATCTATACAGTTTTGAAACATTAAGTATCAAATATTACTTAAGTTTACAAAAAAAGCTTTTTCCAAATAATTTGATAAATACTTCTCTAATTAATTACTATTCATTATATGTATACACAGATTATACATGCTCAATTAAGTTACTTTAATTTACGTTTAAGGAGACTTTTGTTAGTATCTTGTAAAATTTGTATTTAAACCAATCTATCTTAGAATAGGGCCATGTCATATCATTTAACGTTGTGAAAATCCTGTGCCATAATTTGGACAATATAGATGTTTATGTAGATAAAAATGAGCCAAATATATATACATGATGTATTTTTACAACAATTTTTCATTTTATCTAAGACCGACTAATATTTGGTAGTGAAATAGGAGGGCTAACTTTTTCAACTTCCGGTGAGCTAGACAAGTTAGACACCTAAGTTGAGACCGGTGCCTTTTTAAAAAGAAACACTTTTGAACCCAATTTTGTTTAATATTGATTATTTATTGATTTACTGATAATTACATTTATTTTTGGAGGGTTTTTAATTTGTTCAAAGGAACAGAAGTTACACCTTACGGAAAATAGCGATACACCATTTGCATTAACTATTAACACGATAAGAGATCGACCTAGTCGTTCGAAAGACTTTTTGTAACGCCTCGAATATAATTATTAGTTGTTTAAAGAAAACTAGCGTATCTGCTGATTAATTAATAATAACGGATGGCGTAGGTATTACCAGCCGTCTACCATAGATAAGGCAGAGCGTTTTATTACAATGTTAGCAATTTTGAATGGTTAACTTCTACATATTATAAAAAATGATGTTATTTTACTAAAAGGTAAGTAATGTCCTTTTTATTTCTTTACAACTGACAAAATCGCTAGAACACTTCACAATACCGTGGTGTTAGTGTCCGATGTCCTCTTCATAGAAATATACAGCCAACAAAAGTAGAAAGAGGAGACTGTGGTAAATATTAATTAAAAATTAAAGGAAGACTCACCCCCAATTACCACAAAAAAACTTTATTTTAGCGGACACGTGTTTCGCTCACTTCACACGTGGGCATTATCAACGCTCAATTGTCAGTATCGCGTGAGTCTTCCTTTTAATTTTTAATACAGCCAGTAAGGTCAGGTACATCTTGACAGTGTTTTAAAGTTCGTTGTTGCTAGCAAAATGTCCACCCAACTATACCTTCAATAGTCGAAAAGTATCAAAATAGCTCTGTGAATGGTCGGAAACATTTCACTTCAATTGTTGTTTTCTTACCTCTGCTCTCCACATGGCTGGACATCGTTGCCTCTGCTTGCGATCTATGTAAAAACCAAATCATAAATTGCAGTAAGCCTGTGAAAACAAAATGTGTGCTTGGACACATAGTAGAAGAGAAACTTCAACGGACAAGTGGAAAAATGAATCGCAAAAAAATTTTTACTTGAAGTTCTACTGGCAGGGTTTCCCCTTGTCCGTTGAAGTTTCATTTCTACTAGGTGTTCCAGCACACATTTTGTTTTTCTTTAATTGCTTGCTTCTCTTGCACTAGTTGATAGTATCGGGTAGTTCGGAAAGTCATTTCGTTTTTTCCCGACAGAGGATTTAATTGTATTCTTTTGCACCCAACTTCACATTTAAGCCGTATAATTTTTATATGCTTTGAGAGCTCATATAGCAAGGCTTGTGTGTGAAAAATTCCAATTAATT